ACCCCCGCCGCCCGTCGTCGCCGCCCCCCGCCGCCCGTACGCCCGCTCGATCGTATCACACACACACACACACACACACATGTACGTACACACATACACACACACACACACATTTTTTTAGTTATTTTCTGTTTTCTATTGTTTAGATGAATTAATTAATATAATTAGTTTGTTTTTAGAATGTTAGAAATGTTAATGTTAGATGAATTAGAACTAGTTTATTTTTAGTAAGAAAATTTAGGTATATGAGATTATTTGAACTAGTTGAATTAATATAACTAGTTTATTTTTAGTAAATGCTTAGTTGAACTAGTTGAATTAATAGAACTAATTTATTTTTAGTAAGAAAATTTAGGTATATGAGATTATTTGAATTAATATAACTAGTTTATTTTTAGTAAATGCTTAGTTGAACTAGTTGAATTAATATAACTAGTTTATTTTTATTAAGAAAATTTAGGTATATGAGATTATTTGAACTAATTAAAATTTAGGTATATGAGATTATTTGAATTAATATAACTAGTTTATTTTTAGTAAATCCTTGTTGAACTAGTTGAATTAATATAACTAGTTTATTTTTAGTAAGAAAATTTAGGTATATGAAATTATTTGAACTAATTAAAATTTAGGTATATGAGATTATTTGAATTAATATAACTAGTTTATTTTTAGTAAATGCTTAGTTGAACTAGTTGAATTAATATAACTAGTTTATTTTTAGTAAGAAAATTTAGGTATATGGGATTATTTGAACTAGTTGAATTAATATAACTAGTTTATTTTTAGTAAATGCTTAGTTCAACTAGTTGAATTAATAGAACTAGTTTATTTTTAGCAAGAAAAATTTAGGTATATGAGATTATTTGAACTAATTAAAATTTAGGTATATGAGATTATTTGAATTAATATAACTAGTTTATTTTTAGTAAATGCTTAGTTGAATTAGTTGAATTAATTGAATTAGTAAGTATTTAATGTTTCACCTATATGAACATAGGAAATGTCGTCTGACGACGGAAAAAATTTCATTATGTGCGAATAATGTGAAGACCAGCACGCCCTATGTGACAGAAATTTCCTTGTTGATGATAGGCGATTCAGCATGAAGCTGGATGAGACCTTCGAATTCGATACAGTAAGTCACAACGACAAGTCTGTTTTCGTAATTAAGCATGACTTATATATGCTTCATTTGCCTGACTTAGAATTTTTAGTTTTCACTATTCTACTAGCGCATCCCTTGTAATGCAAGAATTTTTGTCTTGGATAAGATAGGTTTCAATGATATGGAAACTATGGATGTAAACAGAGTTTACCTGAAAACTGAGCATGGTTATACTTTCAACGTCAAAGTATACAATGCAAACACGTACACCTATTTTGAATGCAAAACTTGGCAAGTACTATGCAAGGCTTATGCATTTGAGCCTTGTATGGTTATCACCTTTGATATTCCTCTGAAAGATGATATTGAAGGTAATAGAGACATATGGGTCGATGTGCAGACGCCTCCAGTTCTACCATTATGTGAGTTCTTCTCAACTATATTTTTGTCTTTGATATTGCTTATTCAATAATAATTGATAACTAATTTTTATTGACAGCTTATTTCCATTCAAACAAATATGTCTGGCGCCTGGTAGACAGGACCTACTACTGTCCCGGAGCTGAACTAAACTGTGAGGAGATAAGTTATTATGTTTCATGGCTTGAGGATCTTCATACTATCAAGACACATTTTCTTCCTGCACTTAGAAATGTTAGTACTCAAAACGTGCGACCAATAGTGATCGTATTGAACTACGGTCACATCTATTTAGGAATGATGGTAAGATTTTTACTATCTGTCCTCAGTGCATCTTTTGCATACATAATTTTTTTGCTAAACTTTTATTGCTAAGTATATTAACTAAGTACTATACAATGTTTTCAACAGGGACTCTCGATGACAGTTGTGCCTCAGGGGATCGAGACTAAAGGTCGCATATCAATTGTTATCTTATGGCCAAGATATCCTGCATTGCACATGAGTGCATTCAGAATTTCTAGAAGCGATGAATGCTTAATAGTGAAAGATTGGAGAAAAATTGTTAACGATCGCAGAGAAGTAATAGGGGGCAGCAATGAGAAGCGCAACCCACGATTAGGAGACAGGTTCATCTGCATGCTCCAGTATGATGAATCAGGAGAGCTATACATATTCTATGTTATTTTACCTGAGAGAGAGAGTAGCAGGAGTGATTTAGCTAGTTCATGTTCTTAGTACTTGTCCTTTCAAGTCCGTGTTCTTCGTTCTGGATTTAATCTCAGAGAGTGATTTGCTTTTGTGGTGTTATATATGAACGTTTATATTATATCATGACAATCATGTTGAACTCGATGATATTTTTGCTTCTGGTACAAGTGAATGTTTCTTCTTTAAGCTACTATTGGTGGTGATTAGATAGCGGTAATGACTATGATGATTAAATAGTGATAATGATGACTACGATGATTTTTAGCTAACTAGCTAGAGTATATATACTCATGTTGATGATATGATGCAAGAGTTTTTATATGATGATGATGAGTTATTATATCATTTAATGAAAGAAACCGCAGATTAGTTTCAGAGTGATATACTTGATCACTTAGCTAGTAGCTATAGATCCAATGCATCCAGTCGAAACTAATCCGCGGTACTTTCACCTAATGATTTAATAACTCATTATAATGTAAAACAATCACTAAATTAAATTAAAAACATAAAATTAAAGCAAAAATAAAAAAAACACAAATATTTAGTACCGGTTGGTGTTACCAACCGATACTAATGTCCTACATGCACCCGGGCCTGGCTCGTGCCAGGTGGTGGCTCTTTAGTGCCGGTTCATGACAAACCGGTATTAAAGGGAAGGGACCTTTAGTCCCCACTCTTTAGTATCGGTTGACGAACCGGCACTAAAGGCCGTCACGAACCGACACTAAAGGCCCGTTCTGCACTTGAAACCTATAGTGAACCAAATATCATGTCCAATAACATATATACTTGCTACTAGTTACATGCATTGCCGAACGTCGACAGAGCAGATTAGACCAAATTACATATCTCTAGACAATTCTCCAGTCAAACAAGGCGTGAAAGGAAAAGACTCGTTTACAAATGCTTGTGTGTTGTGAAAGACAGGTTCGGTCCATCGTGTTATCTTTTCTAGGTGCTCAACTCTATAGCTCTCCAGATGATAGGCAAATCCTTGTCGTGATCCGTCCGTCAAGAAGACGACATCTTTGTCGAAAGGATGGAATCCGAGAAAAGCAATGTGACAATATTCACGTCGAGTTTTCTTCGCCGCAGGTCCTAACTTAAGGTGTGCTCTCATAAAGAAATCATAATCAGACTCTTCTGGACCTTTCACGGTGTGAGTGCTAACATCATCATCATCATAATAACATTCTCTCTCTTCTTGTAAAGAAGATGGGCGGTCGACTTGTTGATTGTCTTGTCTTTGCATCACGTGCATAAGGTCAATATGATGCTTCAACACCCACTCATATTGTCCATAAGATTCATCCATCATCCAAACCCGAAGTTGATACGGACAGTCTACAATTGCACAACGCACCTCGTCCCGTGATTTCCCCAAATAAACTTGACAGCGATCGCTTGTCCCGATACCCGGCAGAGGTTTAATTACTTGGTATTGACCATCCGATAGTGATATTTTGTAAAAGTGATGATTTTGGCAATGCACATAAAGTGCTCCGTGCATGTAGACACCATAGTGCTTCTCTCTCTTTCCGGCTTGCAGCACATCGGCAATAGACCCCATTGCATCCCCTTTGCGAACAAAGGGCCTCTCCTCCCAATGCTTTGTTCTTGAAGAATAAACCAACAAGATAAATGGCGATGGTGGCCACTCCAATTCCTGTGACAAAAGGCCCAGCTCATCTCTCCATGGAACATGGGGAATCAAGAAGACCTCATAGTGCGGCGCGACCAGAGGATCAAACACAAGATACCTGACCCCATTCATTAGGTAGAAGGCCTTCATCTCCGCCAACGGGGACGGGGGTGGGGGCAAAAGTGTCCATTGAAGCGTGACAGGATTAACCACATAGACGTCAACGAATTTAAGCAAGAGAAGGCCATTGCAGTGGTCGACAATTATGCCGGAGAGGGTGCTGTGCCTGTGTGAGATGGCCGCCGGACCCTTGACGGGATAGAAGAATTCTGAGATTTCCATACCCTCGAAGTTGGCGACGATCTTGCCCAGCGACAGCGGGAGAAGGTCCGCATGAAGCAGGCGGTGGTCGTCGACGATGTCGCGGAGACACTTGCAGACACAGCGTGAAAGGGCGAGGCTGCGCGGCTGGAGACGGCGGAGGATGTCCGCGAGCACGCCATCGGGTAGCAGTCGGTCCATGACGGATATATACTCCCTCCGTAAGCAAATATAAGAGCGATAAACCGATCAATCTGCTGCTTGGTTCGTTCGTCCCTGCTGCCTCGGCTTATAAAGGATGGAAGGGCCGACGGGAGGTGGAGGTGGACGCGGACTCCAATTGGGAAATACAGTACAGTATATACGTATAATCCTCCTACCCCTCAATAAAAGAAAAAACGTGTGATCCTCCTTGTAGATACGGACTCCAATCGGCAACCGTCAGGACTCCCACGATCGGACGCACACCCCTCGTTTTTCCCCACCTCTCGTCGCGCTCGAGTCCTAGATCGAGGGTTGGGCCGCTGGGAGGCGCCGGCGCCGGTGTCGGTGAGGGGGCAAAGCAACGGCCTTCGCGAAGGCGACGTGGTCAGGCGCCAAAGACGTTTACCACGACGGAAGTTAGGCGCGACGATGACGGCGACATTGACCAACAGTCGTGACCTGACTCCAATTCGTCAGTTAAACTTGAGTTTGATCGGGGAAATAAGCCAAAGCTTCATTTAGCTGTCAAAGTGTAGTTTAAGCTGCTGTCAAAGTTCATTTAGATGCTGTCAAGTTTGATTGGGGAAATAGGCCAAATGATCGGGTAGTTAGCTGATGTCGAAGTTCAGTTTGATGTAAAGCTAGAAAACAAGCAAACATGTTCATTAAACTTGATAACAACACGTAAGAATTACAGCCTTGCTATGAGATCACTAAGCTTGATCTAACCGTTGTGGTTACACTAACCCACATCCAAATCTGCGTTTAGCATTCGCAAAGTTCCCGGGTAGATGAAAACTCTGCCATTCCCACGTCTCGCAATACGGATCACACGCCTGCACAAGCAGCGCAGATATGAAACAAACATCTCCCCGCATCCCACCTCCAGCCGCCACAACCGGCCCTATCATCGCACGCAAAATCGCGCCGCACTCTGCCCCTTATCCTCGCTCGGAGAAGCCACAGACGCAGGACGGCTGGAGCTACCAATCCGCCCGTGAGATCAGCGAGGATATTGGTCGTGGCCGCTTCAGCGTCATCAGCTGCTGCACCGGAGGACGAGGCATGGATGCACATGATGATGGTCTGATGGACCTCTGCACCGGGCCGGACCTGTCGACCGGGTCTGCCTCTGCCACGGTTCTCCCTTCCCGGAGCCAGATGCCACCGTTGTGGCCGCGCTGCTCGCCGAGGCCCTCGAGATCTTGCACCGCTGAGACGCCGTCAACACACCAGGGACACGGGAGGGCAGCCAGCCCCCAGCCGTGTTGTTGCCTCCTGCATGTTATGCTGATCCTATGGTGTGGTGGGCGCTGGGCACTTGCTGCTGCGTGCGTGCGTGAGTGCGAGCTGATGTGTGCTTGCTGAGCTGGCTGCTCGGAGCTGGTGCTGCGCTGGCTTGCTGCCGCTCTATAGCTTTGCTGCTTTGCGTTTCTGTATAGTGTTGTTGCTTGCTGCCGCTGGTCTGCTGATGTTGTTGTTGTTACCGAAAAAGGCTTCCGCCCCATTTTATAAATAAAGCAAACCGCCAGAGAGCACACATACAGAGTCAAGTCCACACACACACCCAGGTCTCACAAACAGGTACAAAGGTTCTGCTGAGGGCACAACTCAACAAGCCCAGAAAGGAAAAGAAAACACGCAGAACAAGCCGGACGCAGAGACGCCTAGTCTGGCTCCGGAGGAGGCGGCGGCGGCGGCGGCGACAAGCGGACGGCCACCGATCGGAGGTCGGCGATGAAGGCAGAGATGGCGTCGCGGTCTCGAGGGCGGCTAAGCGGCCGCCAAACTGCAAGAAACCCTAGAATTTGAAGAGAGCGTCAGTAGACCGACGAAGAGGAGTACGCTGAATCACAAGCTTATTGCGGACAGTCCAGAGGGTCCAGGCGAGGACCCCAATCTCAAGCCACCTAATGTGACGAGAAGTCGCAGGGGACATCTGGAGTTCGGCAAATAAGTCCGGGAAGTTGGTGTGACACCAATCTCCCCCGACCGCCTCGCGAAAACAGCTCCAGAGAAACTGGGCGGAAGCGCAAGATAAGAAAATGTGATTAGAGTCTTCGGGAACCCCATAGAGCGGGCAGATGCCAGTACCCGGGTCATCTCGCTTACGCACCTCAACCCCTGACGGGATCCGACCGCGACTCCATTGCCATATGAAGATACGAATCTTCAGTGGCAAGCAGATGGCCCAAACCATCGAGAGGGGGAGGGGGCGGCGGATGGGGCGATGCCCGAGTAAAGCGACTTGGTGGAAAATTGTCCCGAAGGCTCAAGGCGCCAACGCACTAGGTCAGGGTCGCCATCCACGAACGGTTCGTTAAGAGCAACACAGTCAAGTAACTCACGCCAGGCGGCGGATTCTAGAGGGCCAAAGGCCCTCCAGAAGGCAAGGCGCCCTAAGTCAAGAAGGGCCCTACTAACAGAGATCGCGGGGTCGACGGCGATTGAGAAGAGGCCCGGGAAGCGAGCCGCAAAGGGGGAGTCCCCAGCCCACCGATCAAACCAGAACAGAGTCGAGGCCCCTGAGCCCACTGAGATGGAGGTCCCGATACGGAGAACCGGAAGAAGCTGGACAATCGACTGCCAGAACTGAGAGCCACCCGACTTTTGGCAAAAGGCGAGGGGCTGTCCGCGCAGGTACTTGTTCCGGATGATGTCAAGCCAAAGACCACCTTGCCCTTGCGAGATTCGCCACAGCCAGCTGGAGAGGAGGGTGATATTCATTCGCTTAGAGCACATGATGCCAAGGCCACCTTGCTCCCGGGGCTTGCAGATGTCGGGCCAGCTGACCATATGATACTTTTGCTTATCGTGGTCGCCCGCCCAGTAGAAGCGGGACTGAATCTTGGCAATCTCCTTGTGCAGGGACTTGTGGAGGCTGTAGAAGCTCATGAGGAACAAGAGGAGGCTGGAGAGGGAAGAATTGATGAGAATAGTCCGGGCCGCTTTGGAAAGCCATCTCCCCTGCCAGGGCTCGACGCGCGTTTGGAGCTTGGCCACGGAGGGGCGCAAGTCCGCGACTGTGAGCCGGGAATCACCAATGGGCGTCCCCAGGTAGGTAGTGGGGAAGGAGCCCATGCGGCAGTTAAGTCTGTTGGCAATGGCCAAAGACTCAACTGGGGAGTATCCCATCACCATCACATCACTCTTGTCGAAGTTGATCTTGAGGCCCGACATTTGTTGGAAGCAGAGAAGGAGGAACTTGAGGTTGGAGATATCAGTTTCCGAGCCTTCAACCATGATGATAGTGTCATCAGCATACTGGAGGATGGAGATCCCGGAGCCACCGGCGAGGTGGGGAGTAATCCCACGGATATGGCCAGCGGCTTTCGCCTTATCAAGGATGGACGCTAGCGCATCCACGACCATATTGAACAAGAACGGAGAGAATGGGTCGCCTTGTCTAACCCCACAGAGGGTGGGCAAGGAAGGGCCGATCTCGCCGTTTATGTTCACGGCTGTGCGACCGCAAGTGACCATCTGCATGACTCTCGTGATCCACCGGTCATCGAAACCCTTCCTGAGAAGGACTTCCCGAAGGAAGGGCCAGCTAACCGTGCCATAAGCCTTATGGAATTCAATCTTCAGGAAGACCGCCTTGAGGTTTTTGGAGCGAACCTCATGGAGGACTTCATGAAGGACGAGGACCCCATCCAGGATGTAACGACCCTTAATGAAGGCCGACTAGTTGGGGTGCGTCACACGGTCGGCTAGCAGGGTCACCCTACTGGCGTACCCTTTAGCCAGAATACGGAAGATCACGTTGATGACCGTGATCGGCCGGAATTGACGAATGTCAGACACCCCGGGGACCTTAGGGATGAGAGAGATGATCCTGTAATTGAGGCGTCCGAGATCAATGGAGCCAACGAAGAACTCGTCGAATATAGCCATGACCTCTGGTTTAATCACGTTCCAGATGGTCTGGAAGAACTTAACAGGGAGGCCATCCGGTCTAGGCGCCGAGGAGGGATTCATGCCTTTGATGGCATCCCAGACCTCCTGCTCGGAGAAGGGGGCCGTAAGGGCCGTGTTCTCCGCCTCAGACACCAACTGGGAACCAGCCCAACAATCGGGGGCAAGAGAGAGGCCGCTCCAAGGAGCGGCAGAGAATAAGGATCTATAGAATCCGTTGACGTGGGACCGGATGTCGCGCGGGTCTTGAAGGAGAGTCTCACCATCCCATAAAAGCGGGATGGTGTTGCGTCTACGGTGGCCGTTGGCAATTGCCTGGAAGTATGTCGTATTCGCGTCACCCTTCAAGTCCCATTTCTGGGCACCACGGAGGCGCCAATAGGCCTCCTCATTGGTGCAGATCACGGAGAGCTGGTCTTCCAGGTCATACCGGGAAAGCCACTCATCCGGAGAAATCCCAACCGAGTCAGCGCGCAGGTCCAGGGCCTGGATTGCGGATAGCAACGACTTTTTGCGCTCATGGAGATCACTGCCCAGATTAGCACCCCACCACTTCATGAACTGTCGACCGCGTTTCGCGCAAAAGTGCCACGAATCAATGGCCAGCAGGGGGCGGGGGTGAGGGTGGGCGCGGGCCTCGATCCACCGGGCGCCCACCGCATCCACGAACCCGGTTTGGGAGAGCCAGAAGGTCTCAAGCTGAAATCGAGGGGGGGGGGGCAGGAGGACGCTCGTCAGCAGAAGAGAGGAGAAGGGGAACATAGTCCGAGCCAATCCTGGTGATGGCGCAGAGGGAGGCTAAGGGGCAGCGGAGGTCCCAATCCGGGGACACTAGGACCCGGTCCAGGACAGACTGGGTGGGGGCAGCCTGCCGGTTGGTCCAGGTGAACCTGGCACCAATCCTATCAATCTCACGGAGACCAAGGTCAGCAATGAAGTCATTGAACATCTGCATCCGGGAAAGCAGACATTGGCATTGCTCTTGTCTTCCGCTACGCGAAGGAGGTTAAAATCGCCACCGGCCACTACCGGAAGGGAGACCGCGGAAATCTTTCGGTGGAGCTCCTCGAGGAAGGTCG